TTTGTACATGAAAACTAAAAGAGACTTTACAACCCAAACACCTTAGGGTAAAAGGGTTATTGATTATATATATATATATAATATTTATATATATAATATATATATATATATATATATATATATATGACAAGTTTTGCGAAATTTTTGAAACAAAGTTTAATATTGCATTCGGTTTTCCTAGGAAAGACGAAAGCTACTGTGGCACTATAAAAGCGAAAATATCTGCCCTTTCGCAGAAATTAGATGCCACCAGTGATTAATATAAAACCTAAATCTTGGAAAAATTACAAAGAAAAAACAACGAAAAACAACTTCATCTTGCGAGAAGTGAAAAATTTTATTATGTGAAAAGAAAGTATCGGAAATTATCGTCTTCCAAAAAAATTTACCAACCATTTCTTTCAAGTTCAGAATTTGATAATATTTTGCGGTCTTGTGGAAGGCCAAATAGTTGCAAATGTTTCTCACATCTTTTCTTTAATTTACAAAATGGTCTTCAGAGTATAATTTGTTTTGGTATACGGCTTTTCTTTATTCGCTTAGAATAACTTAAAATCCGACGTTACTAATCAAATTGTCTAGTTCTATAATTTTCTGTATTCGTATTACATTGAGTTATTAATTAATTATAAATCTTTGATTTTTCTGCCAATATTTTCCAATCTTTGTTTTATTTTCCTCCATCCTAAAGTATTTGTTTCTGTAAGTGTAAGAGGCCATTACATTATTAAATCTGATATACTGGTAACAGACTAAGTACTCATACAACAAAGTAGATGAAAATCCCAATTTGCTCCAATTAAATGCGAACCATCCGCAAAATGTAAGGCAGCGTTTTCTTTATTGCCTTCGTCGGCACAAAATTGCATCGGTGTCCGACAATTTTCAGCATAACTGTTACTGCATGCAGCAAATAGCTTCAGACAAAGAAATCAGGGTTGAGATAGGTCGGGATTCTTGTATAAAAACATGCCAAGCCAGTAGCGCACCCGTGACGGCGAAAGGGTTGAACCGGCATTAACCAGACTTTTATTTAGTATTTTTTTTCGTTGTTTTAATACACTTATATAGAAGTTGCTCAATATGTTTCGTGGTTCGATACGAGAGGGCGATGTTGTACACTTCTCATATGAAATTATCTGAAGTTTCATTTTAATCTGTCAATTTATTCACCATTTAGTATCGACGTGTCAAAGTCAAGTATCGTGTACTAATTCAATTTTTATTTTTGGGAGATATAAGTCTATAAGGATTCTTCGCCTGCAATTGGTACAGCAGAAATATGAGTTGCTAAGTTTAAATGTGGCCATACAAGCTTTGAAGACGATCCACGGCAAAACTATCTAAGAAGAGCGATAATACAAAAAATCGCAGAAAAATTGCGGTACCTATATCAGCGAGTGTTGAAAGAAATTAGTAGAAATCCTAGTAAATGTAAGCAATATTTTGACTAAAGTATTGTATTTCAAAAAGCTGTGATCCCAATTGAATAAAAACACACCATTTGAATACACTTTCTCAACAAGATTGAGAGCGTTTTTGAAGGAATGAAGTGGATTTTGTGCGATTCATCACTATGGATGAGATTTGGGTCTGTTACCATCATATTAAAATTAAAACAAGAGGCTGAAGAGTGTTCGAACCTCATTATTTGGCTTCTTTGACTTCTTTGGCTTTGACTGAGGCATTGGATTTCAGAAAGCTGTTGTCACAATTGAATTAAACCCCTTTCCAAAGAGACTTTCTCAGCAACATTTAGAGCGTTTTTAATCGAATTAAGTAGATTTAATGCAATTCGTTACTATGGATGAGACTTGGATCTATCGCTATGATTTTGAATCAAAACAGGAGGCTCAAGAGTGTTGTCGAACCTGGCTTTTTGGCTCCTAAACGAGTTCGTACTCAAAAATCAGCCAAGGAGATGTTAGCTTCAGTTCTTTGGGATGCGAAAGAAATTTATATAAGGATTACTTGCAAGCTAGTAAAAAACAAAATTCCGAATATTATTGTAACGTTTTAGATCAGCTAAAGGAAAAAATTCGTGAAAAAAGACGCGGTTTGCAGAAGAAAAAAAATCCTTCTTCGTCACGATATTGTACGGTGTGATATGAGCATATAAGAATTTGACAATGGCTAAAATCCATGAATTAGTTCGAATTGTTGAAAATATCTACCGTATTCAATAGATTTTGCCCTTAAGCGACTTCCATATGTTTCAATACCTAAAAAAAATGTAGCATGCAAAGCGTTTTTCGTTAAATGATGGTCATAAAAGCTATGAATGCTTATTTTGCAGCCTTTCCGAATTCTCACTTCAGGGATGGAATTCCTAAATTGTAATCTCGTTGAAACAGTGTATTATTGTTCAAAAAGACTATACTGAAGAATAACATGTATTTTAAACCATAATAACTGTGTTTTCTCGTGGAATTGCCTAACTTATTGAACAGCATTTATATACAGATATATAAAATCTGAAGATGGCAAAATAATTCCTAGAAAACGAAATTATAACGGAGAGAAATAAAGATTACTGTGAGGAACTTTTCTTCTGCTTTATTAAACTGCACATTTTACAACTCACCATCGGTCATACTTCATGCAATTAGCTATTATGTAAATCTTTTGTTAACTACTATACAAATCTTCGGGACTTGGCTATACATAAGTTTTCCTTCGTATCCAATTTACACTATGTTATGTCTAGTATATTCACCACCCTTGTGTCAAGACATTATATTCTTTCATTATACCAATAAAATTGTTAAAAGTTGCGCGTACCCGTGCTTAAATTTTTGCCTAAATAACCCTAATCGAACCTCTTCCATCTTTTATATAAAAACCTGAATTTTAAACCTTAAAACCTGTTATTCTTTTCTCACTAAAAGGGTTCATGAAGCCGATCGTAAAATTTTTTGTTGCTTTTAAATTTACATGATTATCATTATTGGCCCTACATTCCATAGTGGGTCTGCAATATGAGTAAAAAGGTTAGGAAACCGGAAAATGCATGCCAATATACAAGAGAGGAGATAATGAAAAGTGAAAAAATAAACTACAGAAAAATAACAATATTTTAACATCACTTTCAAGATTTATTAAAACAATAATTAGAAATTGTTAAAACCAAAGATAGCAGATTAAATGGAAGAATAACAAAGTGGATTTACATAATGTCATTTGCAGACATTTGCAGCATCAAATAATTGTAGTACGAGACAAGAACCAATGAGCTAGAACAAATAAAGAAATAACAAACAAACTAAAAAAGTCGTAAAAGATCTGAAGAGAAACAGAAAAACAGAGACAGCATGATAAGTAAATAAAAGTTAGCGTCAAAATGACTCCCAAGTTTAAAAAAATTGCCATAAAATACTGCAGAAATAACCAAAAAAATATAAAAGTTACATTTCTTTTTTTTTAATAACTTTTATTTAAAATGATCAATTAAAGATTACACTCCATAAATAAAAAATACACTGTTTGATACCTTTGTAAACAAATACCGTTTTTTATTCAACGTCTTTATTCCCATCTACGCCGCTGCATCTCTTAATTATCTCGTTTTCTACAAAGCCTCAAGTTTTTTTAATCTTGCTCTACACCATTGGCCTGCAATACTGTTAATAGCTTGTTTTTCGAGATAACTGGTTTTAAAACGGCCTTATAAAGTATTTTTAATGATTCTTTATTGATAATTTGCATAAAATTTGAATCGCTGTTCATTGTCTCGAAGACCTACTTAAGATGTTTTACACGAGTACCTGGTGGGTTGAAAAGCTATAAAAAATATTTTTAAGAAATTTTTAATATAATTGCTATCAAACTACTCATAGAAAGAAATATATAAACATAACTGACTGGCTTCTGCTTTTTTGCTGCTGTTCGGCCTATAACGCACCACGAAGGATTTTTTTCATTCTTCTCATGACTGAGGTTTGGCCTTTGACAGTAGGTTTTCATTTCAATGAAACTTTCCTCTTTCACTTCTAGTGATCACTTGCTATCAGAACAAGGAGCTGAGATAGTGGGAGGGATAAGGTCCTTAGTAGACTTTAATTTTATCTTTCACTTTATCTTTAAGACCTTGGCCTTGGTCTAAGACCTCTCTAAGATCTTGAAGGTTACCAGGTGCAATTTCATGATGATATTGTTCCCATGTAAACAATATCATCCAAGTGTTACATTACTGAAGATTGTGTTTTCGGCAGAATTCTTCATTTTTTTGTAAAAAGTCCTAAGATGTTTAACAAAATGTTTCTTCTTTTATTTCAAGTTTTCGTAATGGACCTTTGGTTTACCGTATTTAAACATTTTAATACATATAGGATTGACGGCAGTCTGATCAATGTACAGTTTTAAGTTTAAATATAAGCTTCTACTTTTGTAGAGGCTTTTACACACAGTTCTCTATAAACTCTAAACTCTCGAAGCTATTTAAACTTTTCTGACTGTTTAACTTTTTTTGTTACATTATTTATGTATGACGGTGCGTTATTATAATTTGTAATAAACTTAGTTTACTGAATGCTATGTCTGGCCAGTTGTTGCGACAATTGATACTGTATTCAATCTGTGTGAGAACACCCACACACAGATATGCTGAGAAATATATTAACTCGACACCACTATGGCGGAGATGTAGAGAAGGGTCTAAAACATCTCTGGACGACGATGTACTTAGATGATAATATAAGAGCAAACGAAATAAAAAATACCTACTGAAAAGTTCAATGCATAAAACAGGAAGAAATGGAAACAAATCACGACAGCAGCCAAAAGGTACAGCAAGTTCTAAATGATAAGGAGAAATAATCCACCTCACCTCAAAATTTGATTTTCCACGAGCTGTCTCGTTAGCTATAATCTCTCGGGAATTGCAACTCTCTGACAATAACGATGATGATAATGATGATAATGAAGAATATTATAAAAAAATTACCTTATACGTAAAAGGTATAAATTATCATATTTGAATTTAAACTATTTTTATTTTCCAGATAATTGTCGGAAAAAAAACGATCACTGCCAAAAGGATGGATGTCAAAACGGTGCTTGCCTAGATAGCCAGTGTCACTGTAACGATGGGTACGGAGGGTGTAGCTGCGAAGTGCCAGGTAAGAATTAAAAACAAAACTTATATTATTTTATTATATATATATATATTATATATAGTCTATATATAATATATAAAAATATATATATATATATATATATATATATAAACAAAACAACACAGTTTATTAGGGTTGCAGTCAGAATTATTGGCCGAGATGTTAAAAAAAAACACTCTTTTGACTTTTTGTCGAGCTTTCGGAATATTTTTATTCCTTTTTCAAGACACTGTAAAAGACAATTATGTAAGTATTAAAAATAATATCACCAATTCTTCAGTGTAACTTACTAGTCGTTGAGATTATTTTTGTAAGCATTGAACACTCAACATTAATACCACACATTAAAATATACAATTATGGACAATACATCATAAAATTTTTAAAAAATTTGTTGTTAAAAATAGTAAAACTTGATTGATGGCATGTTTTACTGGTGTATATTAACTCATACAGAGAATGGAAAGAAAAAACAGTGTAATTAATATGTAATTAGGTGTAAATTGATGTGTATCTTTCTTTACAAGCATTACTAGAGGCCTTTCTTAGGTGTCTATAATTTTAACCTGTCTTAATGGTATGCAACATTATTATACAGAGGTGTAATTTTTCGTACAGGTATCAAATATTTATATATTTTATTTTTGGTGTTTTTCTAGTAAATAACAATAAATGTTACTTAATTTGTCTATATCGGACTTTTTATTGAATACATGATGTGCTAGATTTTATGAAACACATTTCCAAAAAAACACGTTTTAAATGGTTCTTTTCTTTTGCCAAATTTAATATGTTGCATACCATTAAGACAGGTTAAAAATTATAGACACCTAAGAAAGGCCTCTAGTAATGCTTGTAAAGAAAGATATACATCAATTTACCACCTAATTACATATTAATTACACTGTTTTTTTCTTTCCATTCTCTGTATGAGTGAATATAGTCACCAGTAAAAACATGCCATCAATCAAGTTTTACTATTTTTAAACAACAAATTTTTAAAAATTTTATTGATGTATTGTCCATAATTGTATATTTTAATGTGTGGGTATTAATGTTGAGTGTTCAATGCTAACAAAAATAATCTCAAACGACTAGTAAGTTACACTGAAGAATGGTGATATTATTTTTAAATACTTACATAATTGGTCTTTTGACAGTGTCTTGAAAAAGGAATAAAAATATTCCGAAAGCTCGACAAAAGTCAAAAGAGTGTTTTTTTTTTTAACATCCCCGGCCAATAATTCTGACTGCAACCCTAATAAACTGTGTTGTTTGTTTAATCGACAGTCAATAATATCCAGTATTTCTTATAATATATATATATATTATATATAATATATTATATATATATATTATATAATATATATATATATTATCTCATTCTTATTATTCGTGGAACACGATAACTTTTAGTTTTAACATATTTATCCATTATTCGAACAGTAATAGAAAAATAAAATGTATCCTTATAAAAAAGATGTCAACTCAGAATTAATATCAATTCTTGTAAGAGGATTTTGATAGGATAACTTATGTTTTTGTGCACAATGATGGCAATGTTAGGTAACAATGTGATCCTATTACAAGATTTTTTATTTCATGATGAGTGCACCTCTAATCTTAACGATCGTGGTAATCGTTCAAAATTGCCGATATTTCCTACAGCTGATTGAGCAATCTCAAAACCCATGGAATAGGAAAATTACTAAATTTTAGACATGTATTAATGATTTTTGTCAGAAGTAAGATCATCATCATCCTCACTGGCTAGGAAACCCTTTTTGGATCTTGGCATGTTCCAGGATTATTCTCCATTCTGATCTGTTTCGTGCTTTTTTCTTCCAGTTTTTTATTTTTAAGGTTGTTATATTATTTTCTATTTGTTCAAAGTATCTCAGCATCAGTCTTCCTCTTGTTCTTTTTCCTACTGGTGTCTGTTTGAATATTTTGTTTGGTATTTCGCCTTCTTCCATTCTTTCTACATGTCCTATCCAACGCAGCCGTCCTATTTTAATGAATGTTATAATATCCGGATCCTGGTATATTTTGTATAGTTCAAAGTTGTATCTTCTTCGCCTAATATTCCGTTTTCTTTTGTGCTTTTATATATGTGTCAAGGAATTTTTCTTTCGAACGTGGCTAACAACGTTTCTTCTCTTTTAGGGATCCCAAGTATATGAAGTTTTCTACCCCTCTCAATGTTGTATTGTTGTATTATGCCTTATATCTGCGTTTTTACTTACCTGCATATATTTTGTTTTGGTCTGATTGATTTTAAGACCACTAGTTTGTGCAGCTCGTTCTATTTGGTTGTATGGCTCTATCAATTCTCTTCTTGATCTTGCGATTATGTCAACATCATCTGCAAATTTGCACGCTTTTATTATTGATTGTCCTCGAGTATTGACTGTTGTGTCCCTCAGTATTTTCTTGAGTATAGAGTACGATGTTGAACAAGATGCATGGATAGAGCGTCTCCCTGGCGTAGTCCCTTTTTTTACATCTATTGTTTTCTGTTATTTCATTTTGTATCCGGATTTTACTTTCTACTTTAAAAGATTCTTTTATTGTTCTATGAGTTGTGTTGGTATATAAATTCTTTCATTGCTTTTATTAAGAATTCTCCGTTTATATTGTCATATGCGCTTTCAAAGTCTATGAAGAGATAATGTGTGTCGATGTTATATTCACTTGTTTTTTCGAGGATCTGTCGCAGAATAAATATCTGGTCTATGGTTGACTTCTGTCTACAGAAGCCACTTTGGTATATTGCCAACTATTTTTTCAGCATGTGGTCAAAGTCTTTCAATAAATGACGTTGGACATTATTTGTATGCTGCATTCAGCAGCGTGATTTCACGGTAGTTTCCACATTCTAACTAATTTCCTTTTTTATGTAATAGTATAGCGCTATTCCACTCCCCTGGTAGCTGTTTATTCGACCATATCTTTGTTATCAATTATTCATGTATTGTTTTTTGTAGTGCGTCTCCTCTTTCCTTCAGTAACTGCGATGCTAGTTGATTCCGATCCCAGTGTTTTATTGTTCTTTAATTGGTTAAACAAATTAGAGAAATTTATAATTTTAAAGAAAAATAATTTGTCAAACAAATTAAAGAAATAAGATCATGATCTCTGGAAATTGTTTTAGACATCTAGGACTGATGTCATTGGGTTCGGAAGAATTATATCTGCTGATCCGACAATAATTCTCCGTTTGGAAGTGGTTTTGAGCAAATTTCGAACTTCGAATTTATCATTTAGTCGTTGATCAACAGATGGAGAAATTGGGTTTATTTTAATTTTATTAGGACTTTAAGTTTATTTCAGAATTTATCACCCTCCTAATATCAATTCTATGTAACATACGGCACTGGAGGGAAAGCCGGATAGATATTTCCCTCTTAGCTCTGACATAAATTTGGGATCCCTGTTGATCTTATATTGACGTAAAAGTCATCTTTTTATTTTATTTTGGCTGGGATATATGGTGGGAGTGCCGAAGAGAAGCGATCTATCTGTTTTATCAAAGTGAAGTATATGATAGCCTTTTTGTGCAGAGGTTTTAATCAGCCTGTCTACAATTTCTTAGTATTATAAAGATTAGAGTGATCAAGTTATAGGAGAAAATATGTTTGATTTTACCAGAATTGAAAGGTGGTGGGATGTTATGGAATCTTCAATTCAGTTAACACTACTAACTAGGATATGATCTGAAATAGATTATGCTTTTGTATTCAAAAAGGTGTGTCCTTTTTTAGTTACTACTAAAAATTAGAAGATCTAATAAATATCCTGATAATAAAATGTCTTCTCTGTTTGTGTTATGGTCACCGAATTGTGTATTTCTATAGTTGAAGTCGTCCATTATAATTGATTGGTTTAAAGTAGCAAAATACATACTCTTAAAGAAGAACACGTAGCATGCGATTTAAATGTGTTTGTGTGAAGTTTTGTATAGAGTATGATATTTCTTGTTTTATAAGGATACCGTTCCAGCAGGAAACCTGACAACGGTTTTGATGTTTTGTTGGGTGTTTTATTAGTTTCACTGAGACACTAGTATAAATACTTGTATGTCATATTTTCGGAAGGAGATATTTGATAAGGAGTCTGTTTTGAAGAGCTACTGGTAGTTAAATGCACCTAGGGTAAATGCATGTTAAAGGTTAAAAAGTAGGTCGAAACATGACCTTTGATACGCTCGACTACGATACACATAATGCTGGTTATTAGGTATTTTCTATTCGGGACGTCATTGAGAAGGACTAGGGTAATTAACAAGATAATGGCATATGGAGCGATGCTTTTTTCACCGGAAGCAGGTTGGTTTAACTTAAGATTTTTAGGGAATTTTGTTTCGCTTTTCGCGACAGCGCCAGGCATAGTGTTTTCCGAGTTTGGACATTTAGGATATGTGAGTGTGGGATACGCACTAAATTTGTGATCTTTGCCATATTTTGGACAGATAAAAGTTTTTTTACGGCATTCTGCGATGTTGTGACCAGTTGTGCAATGTTTGCTAGAATATTTGGGATGATACCAATTGGATAAGAGTTATATGGTAGTTCCATACGATGCGCATTTGTGTTTTCAGAATTGGTCGGGACTTTAACGAACTTGTTTGTATAGTCTGTTTTTGCGGTTCTACTCGACATAGATGGATGTCCTGTGACTGAATAATATCTGTCAAATCTTGTTCGGAATAGTCCCTTTCTACATTTATACTGAAGAGGAGAAAAAGATGCGTTTTTAGGTCAGAAGTTTGGGCCCGAGGAAGCGTATTTCTTGAGGTGGATCACCTTTGGTGTAGTCGATTTTGTTTGACAAAATTTCCGTTGCATTAATGATCCGAAGAAGCTTTAGTTTAAGATGTTAAGTGAAATTTTAATTCGAAGGTTTTGGATTGTTTTGTATTTAATTTGTGATATTAGAGTTTTTATGTGGTTTGGCCGACGCTGCCACAGCGAATGAGGTTCCTGGTTTGAAAGTTGAAGGCCTCTCTGGTTTAGGTTTGTAATCTAAAAACTACTGAACTGGCTAAATTAGATTGTTTTTTACGTTTTATTGAGTGTTAGGGATAAAAAATCTAAAAAAGCGTTTAGAGTTGACTATTAAGGAGACACTGTCTAATATTTGGCCTTGAAGCATGTTATACTTTGCGGTGAGGATGTATGATTGCGTTTGCAGATCAAAAAGCACCTGTCGGACATTTTGGTTATGAAATTCCTCGTTGATGGAGTGCATTAGTTCTTTAGCCGCATTTAGTGGCTCTTATGGGTTAGATACTGCAAAACGAAGACATATAATCTAGACAAAGTAAGACTCAAATCCATCTTCTGTATAATAGAGAAGTTCCCTAAATATTATAAAAAATTTTGAAAACACCTAACAAAATAACAAAATTCAAGTCAGAATAGTTGAACAACTTATAGAACCTATAGAAATAGGCAGCGGAATAAGACCAGGGGATTTATTGAGCCCATGCTGTTCAATTTGATCATGGATGAAATCATCAAAAGTGTTAACAAAGGAAGAGATTGCAGGATAGGAAACAAAGAAATAAAAATACATTTGTTACGCAGACGACGCATTATTGATAGCTCAAGATGAAGATAGTCTGCAACGAGTGGTCCACAAATTTAACATGAGAGCAAAAGAATTTAATATGACAACCTCATCTCAGAAAACTAAAACAATAGTAGTCAGCAAAAAACAAACCAGATGTAAAATAGAAATTGATGGCATCATTATTGAACAAGCAATAGAATTAAAATACCTGGGAATTACACTCTCTAGCTATGGAGACCTGGGCAAAGAAGTGAGAGATCAAGTATAAAAAGCAAATAGACTAACAGGATGCCTTAATAACACTATATGGCGAAACAGATATATTATCACTAAGATGAAGTCAAGGATTTATAAAGCCAGTGTAAGACCAATAATGACGTATCACAACAAGACCAATACAGCCACAACGCATAGGCCATTGAATAAATGAATGGACACACAACAACAAAAAATTGAATAACCACATGAGCAGATTGGATTAGACCAGTGTCGTCAAAATAGCAAGAGATAAGTTACCAATCGGCGAAAACGTATCGGACGAACCGTACAAAAGATGGAGTGACAACCTTCCATAGAGGCATTAATCAGTCAATGAACAAGCAGAATTGCTTATAGAGAAAGAAGAAAAAGAAGAAGAAGCTGTTGTGTCCACATCAATGTTGTCAAGTTTTAAGTTGTTGTTTGACGTTAAAAAATTTATGCGCATAGCATTAAATTGTAGTAAAATAAAATAGACATAACTAGGTAAGAAAGAAGATGAGAAATAATATCCTTATATCCTATTTTTAATAGTAATTTGCTAAATTTTAGTTTTGAGTAAAAAAAAAACGAAAGTTTGTAAACATCAACTGAATAAAGTCCTGCCATTTCTACCTTGTACGATACTACAAAGTTCCAATCATTTAGATTATATTATAGCAAGTCAAACTTCATTTTAAAATAAACTGACAGATTAAAAGGCTCATTTTCTATAGTGTAAATGAACCTCAACGAAGGACATCTTGAGATAAGCATAAAATCTCACGATATAAGCATTTCTAAGAACAAAGACTGAGCAATAAGTAATCGATAAGGAAAGAGGTAACGACAGACAATCTACACTAAGCTGAATGTACTTATCGTTTTAATAATGATTTGCAAAACTTTGCTGCAAGATCAACTGCAAACGTTTTTGTAATGGCCAATAATGAGAATCTTTCTTAATAAGTGCATAGGATGGTTTAACGAGTCATTCCACTAAAAAGTCACAAGCACCTCTAATCGCTTAATACCTTGGGAGAAAAATCTCTAATAACTTCTCATCACTGTTGATACTGATATGACGTGGAATGACAGGTATTCATGCATGTAGAATGAGTTGTTTGACTATATTTAGATTAAAAACAGACGAAAATATATTCTGCCGTGATTACACCATCAATTTACACTTTGTGATTTGTATTCGAATAAATTATGAATAAATATACACTCATATACAAGATTCTGCTCTCATTTGTGCTGTCTTAGGTTTTTCATGATTATCTTGTCATCTGCTCAATTTTAGTTTCAAATTATACACCTTTATCTGGTTTATTTTTATGCTACTCTTTCTGTCTTTCTTGATTTTATATTTTCTTCAGTATACAAAAAAGATGACGAGATCATGAGAAGGTGGACGTAATACGTTATCAAAGAAATCGAAAAAATAATTAAATGTAAAGTTAGCTGAAATCGATGAAATTTCTGTATAATTAATAGACTAGTTTGTAATAAGTCTTCATAGGCGTTGGTTTGGTACTTGTGTACCTTTTTATTTGTTATTTGGCGCTTTATGCCCTTTTTTGAAGTCAACATTTAACCTTCTTATATCAGCAGTGAATTTTGCGGAATCTGCCTTATTATGCTGAAGTTTCTAAGCTGTGGTGCCAATAAGATTCTAATTGGGATCTATTAATACCTATGGGTGCCGCTCTACTCGTTTCCTTTGTGGACTCCAAAGAGTCAATCATTTATAAGTGCTCTTTTGGCGATCCCTTTTTTTATCTATGTATCCATCTGATTCTTATTCGAGTAGGGACGCCAGAACTATGCCGATACCGTGCCAACACTATAATCCCCCTACATTCCATGGGCACGATGGTGTTATAAGTCGTAATTGGGGAGTGTAGTAGTCGCAGCACAAGTCTCTTGTTCATCTTCTGAATACAGTAGGATCATCAGGTTAATGTATGATGATAAAATACAAAATACATGTTAGTTCATCATCATCAGTTGGCGCTACAGCCCTTCGTGAGCCTTGGCCTGCTTTCAAAAACATTCTTCCATCCTTCCTATTTTAATTTACTTAACACGATAAATTATATAAATTTTATTTGACTAATTTGACTAATAATTACATAATTTATCTATAAGTGCGTTACATTAAAACGCGATCGCTACCGTCTTTTCTTACTGTCTGCCCGTTTTCTCCAAAAAGGTCCCGTTATACCAATACCGCTAGACTAGAAAAGTCGATCGCCTTCTCGTCTGGTAAATTCGGAGGGTCGGGCCGCCGGCTGCATTCTTGTTACCTGAAGTTGTTATTCGAACCCTTCTGGAGAATTTGGTAGTATATGACCTAGAAAATTCGTGAATGAATAGAATATTAGTAATAAATATTTATACGGTCTTTAATATGACTCATATATTTTTTTACGTCACAGTATCCTCTGAATTAATAGCACTTGTAAAATTTTAGTTGTATAATTTTAGCGTAGTATTTAACAAGTTTATTCCTCTGTAGCTTTCTAGTTATTTTTTATTTCCTTTTTTGAATAGTAGAATTAGTTCACTCGTTCTTCATTCTTCCGATATTTTATTGTGTTTTGTACTCTTCTGATTAATTTTATTGTTCGTTATTGCTGCTCCACAATATTTCAGTAATTAATTTCAGTATATTAAAGGTCGATTCAGACACATCAGTCACGTCTCGTCACAGTCTTGGCGCCGAACCGAACATTCGTCATACAAAATATTCTTTAATAGAAATATGACGCCGGCATTCACATTCATCAGGCGACGAACAGTTTCCCAGCTGTCAGATAGTTGATAGTTCTGTGACCAACAGGGTCGTTTCGGCGCCGAGACTATGATGGGACTGATGTGTCTGAATCGACCTTTAGTCCTTCATTTGTGGTAAATTTCTGTTGCTTACCGGTTTTAGCGTCATTTGTTCTTCCTCTGCGTAGATTTGTTTAGGTAGTCAATCCACAATACTCACTCGCGTTAATTTATGTGCGTCAGAGATGCATTTGTCGTTAATAAAGGGACCTGTTGATGGACCTGGCTCTTTATCTAAGTACCAAACGAAACGATCTGTTTCAGCCGTACACCGCCAGAGATGAGGTCGGTCTTTGCGTAGCATTTTAACAGCTTGTATTATTCTACTCTGAGTAGCTAGTCGTCCAGAGTTTATACACTTTTTTTATGAATAACAATAAATAAAAATTAAAATAATTTTAAAAGTTGTAAGTAATTTTTATTTAACATATACCTTTATTTTTGCAGATGAAAACGAGTGTAAATACAGACCATGCGACGTATTTGCTCATTGTACCAATACCCTTGGCAGTTTCCACTGTACATGTTTTCCAGGTTATCAAGGAGATGGCTTCCATTGCGAGGGTAAGTTTTTATTCCTTTTTGATTGTATCTTAAATATAAAACGGAAAAAACATGATTTTTTAGTAGCCAAATCTAACTTTAGTAGCAATAAATGTAAATAATGTTACCACCATCACAATTAAGATATCGAGCAGGGAAGAGTGGAATAAAGGGGTACCCATAAAAGCTGCTGCTACCTGGTACACGGATGGCTCAAAAACATCGGAGGGTGTTGGAGCCGGCATAGTAGGGACAAATCAAGGGATACATTTCCCGGTAAGTCTATCTAAGGATGTGACAGTTTTCCAGGCGGAAATAACTACAATCCATCACTGTGTGGAAGAAATAGAAAGGCAGGAAAGAACGTTCTGTTCAGTTGCCATCTTCACAGATAGTCAGGCAGCGCTTAAGGCACTCAATTCTGTAGAGGTCAATTCTAAGCTAGTATGGGATTGCGTGTGTGCCCTAAATAAACTAGGAGACCGTAGCAAGGTTACGGTAGCCTGGGTACCGGGGCACGAGGGTCATAAGGGCAATGAAAAAGCAGATGAAATGGCCAAACAAGGCTCATCAATGCCATTCATTGGACCGGAACCCTTCTGCGGCGTTGCAAAGTCAGTAACAAGAACGGCTACAAAGAAGTGGGTAGCTCACAAATCTCTGGAATGGTGGAGGAATTCACCAGGACAAAGACAGGCGAAACAGTTCATTACAGAACATTCGCCAAAATTTACGGCAGACCTAATTAGCAAAGATAGGAAAACAGTCAAAGCCATAGTAGGTCTTCTAACAGGGCACTGTAAGCTGAATAGGCACTTGAAGCTGATGGGATTATCAGATGATGACCTGTGCAGATTCTGTCACCTCGAAGAAGAAACAGCAGAGCACATTTTATGTCAGTGTGACAGTCTGGCAAATGTGCGGTTCTTTGCATTAGGAGAAGAAAATCCACCGGCAAATAGCTACATGGAAGGTACAGTCTCGAAGCTACTAGACTTTATAAAAAGGGTCAGGCTAGAGAATGTTATCTAGGACTAGAGGACCACAATAGATCTGAAAAGGTCGCAGTGGAATAGGCCGAAAGGCCACCTCTCTTAATCTAATCTAATCTAATCTAACTTTAGTAGCAAATTATTTACCGTTAGCAACTTGTGAAATACAGATGGCACTGTAACCATTGCAACGATCATAGGTAGATTAATAATATCTAATGGCTATTATAGCTTAAGTATAGATAGTGCTAAGAAGAACATAAATATAAATGTAAAATAACAAAATATATGTTTATTATTTCAAAAAGACGAGAAGATAAAATATAAAATATTGAAACTCAAATACAGAGAAAGATTCGATGACGAAGATCTGGGAAACTGTATTATTCTATTAAATCTTAAACTGGAAGAAGGATATAAATATGTCAGACTTTCTTCTTTATGTGTCTATCCGTGGCTGAATGTTTGACGATAATCATGGCAGTTGTTAAGTATTGTAATTTTTAAACATTAAGACGGCACTGTGTCTGCCGCTTGTGCGCATATAGTAACTGCGCAAAATGTGCCTGTCTTCTCTGTGCAAAAGATGTATTTAAAATTAAAATAAAGATCATTAAGTAAAATTCGTTGGTTCAACATTACTTAAATCAAATTAGGAACTAAAGTGTCTTTCAGAGCGTTCCCTATGTAAGAGCTCCAGCAGTCTTTATCTTATCTGCAGCAGCGCAGAAACGCTGCACACATGTTGTGTTGAACCGGGTTCTAGAGTTCTCTAACCAGAATGTTTTTATTCTTCCTGGACCTCGGTTTTCAAATATTTTTCCTTGCAGGATGACTCGTAAGAAGGCATAATTGGATTCATTTCGGATAATGTGTTAAAACTATTATAACTTTCGAGATTTGATGATAGTCAAATTTTCATTCTTCTGAGGACCTCCCAGTGGTCTTGGAGGCCGAGGACTTAGTCAGTCCACGGGATCTTAAGTATTGTCTGATATAGCCACATCTTAAATGCTTCTGATCTCCTGCACATATCTTCGTTTAAGGTCTACGATTCAACACCATAAAAAAGGAAAGAGAAAACTTAGCATCACAGCATTCTGAGTTTTATAGCAAGAGAAAGGTTGTGGCTCTTGTAGTAATGCGTGCTACTCTCGCAGTAACTCACAATGGAGTGTGGAGAAGACGCTACAACTTCGAACTTTATTTACGTTCTCTTTAAATTTTTAATGGACAAGTATACCAACGTCTGCTCGTGCTCGTTCTTCTTTCTTTACTCCACTGTATGCTAGGATGTATTAGTTATATTCTCTTTGGCCTTTACCTTTCTTCATGGTTTCTTCGATTGCACAAATGTCTATTTTTTAATTTATCAGTTCTTCAATTATCTATTTAGGCATAAATTTACAAAACAGTTATCAGAACAATAATGACAGAACGCGACAGAAACAAGACCTGACACAGAGAGGACACAGAGGATGTTAGAAACAGCAGAGATGAAAACAGTTAGAAAAATTAATAGTAAGACACTATGGAACAGAGCTAGAAGTACAGATATACGACGCAGATGCAAGGTGGAGAACATCACGAACTGGGTAAGAAATAGAAGAGTAGAATGGAACGATCATATAAGCCGAATGACAACAAATATAGTAGTAAAGACGGCAAGAGACGGTTCACCAATAGGAAGACGATCAGTAGGAAGACCACGAAATCGATGGAACCACAACTTACTGGAGACACATTGAAAAACAGACAGAGTCATGTCTATATAAAAAGAAAAAGAAGTTTAGCATATGACTTCGGTTTTTCTGTAACGAATTCGTGTTGCCTTATCGGTACACGGTACTTTTTCTTTTTAACCAGTCGTTATTGCTAAGAAAGGAGGAAAGGAAGTTCTATCCTCTGCAGAATCCGATAGTTAAAGGGCGATTGTTGTTTTTCATAGTCCAAAAATGTTTGTATTTTTAGAGGTTTCTAGATATTCAAAGGTAGGAGTAGTAATTCAGCAAAAAGTTTTTCACATGTAAAAAATTGAACAAAAGCATACGTTTTCCTGTCTTAAGCATAATGAATTAATCGTTTGCTATTGTTTGGATCCAATGTCTTATAATACACAGTCATGATCTTTCCTGTTTTCGAATTGAACTTTGCAAGAATGAAAATGGCATTTTTTTGTGCTAATGTATTTATTATGAAACAATTTCCAATGAAAATTTTTAGTTAAATCGATCTCTATTAGCTTTATTACATGCATAAATTACAATTATTTTGAAAACTGCAAAACAATAATTTTGGTCGGTTTAACCAACGACAAATATGGCATTCCAAACAATGGCCTAAAGGACTGGACAAAATCTACAATAAACGACCATACATAAAAAAGGCAGCTTCCATAAATGCGACAATTATAGAACTATCTCACTTATATCCCATGCCAGCAAGATAATGCTACATATAATCAATGAGAGACTGAAAACATTTCTTCAAAGAGAAATTCCACAAGAGCAAACTGGATTTACCAAAGGTAGAGGCACTAGAGAACACCTGCTGAATATAAAACAGATAATCGAGAAATCTAGGGAATTCAACATCCCACTATACATCTGTTTTATAGATTACCGTAAAGCGTTCGAAAGGGTCAAGTAGAGACACTTATGGCGAATACTAAAAGAAGTAGGCGTACCACAACATCTAATTACGCTTATAACTGAACTATATGAACACACTACTGGATCAGTTAAAGTACTTGACACACTTTCGAACGAGTTTCATCCAGAACGGGGTGTCAGACAAGGATGTATACTATCTCCATAATTATTCAACATATATGGAAAGTATATTATGCGAAGAGCACTTGAAGGATGGGAAAAGAGCATCTCAATAAATGGTCATAAACTAAACAACCTACGTCTCGCAGATGACACAGCCCTTCTTGCAAATAGTCAAGCAGAGCTGATGGAACTTATACAACTGATCGAAAACGAAAGTCAAATATTTGGTCTGCAATTAAACATATCAAAGACAAAGATCATGATAGTGGATAGACTACACAATAATCATCCACACATAACCACAATTGACCGGTTCCAGGTTGTGACCTCATACTTATATCTGGGATCATTAATCACAAACACAGGGTCATTACAAGAAGAGATTAAACGTAGATGTGATCTAGCAAAAGTTGCCACAGCAAAAATAACCAAAATATGGAGGGAATGTCAAATTTCAAGAGCGATAAAGATGAGGTTGATCAACTGCTTAATATTCCCAATACTGACCTACGGATGTAAATCTTGGACTCTGAGACAATCGGAGAGAAAAAAGATAGACGCCACTGAAATGTTCTGTTGAAGACGAATGTTACGAGTTCCTTGGACCGACCGTAGAACAAATAATTCAATTTTAAGAGAGCTAAAAGTTAGCCAACGACTGTCTAGTAAAGTCCATCTCCAACAATTAAAATATTTTGGGCATGTTATGAGAGCAAACACAGAAAACATGGAAAGACTCATACTACACTCCCCCTAGGGGTCAGGATTGAAGAGAGAGAACCAACGACAAAACAACAATAAGACAACAAGACACGGTTCCCTAATAGAAAGACGATTAAAAGGAAGACCACGAAAACGCTGGAACGACAACTTACTGGACACACATTGAAAACCAGACAGTCATGTCTATATAAAAAGAAGAAGGAGAAGAAGAAGGAAGAATTATTACAAATCAATTCAAAATATAATTACGTAGTTTTAACTATTGAAAATAAATAAGATTTTAGAAGATACAATGCTTCTCTTGCATCCATGGACCGCACGCCCTTGAATCTTACATCCATACAGACTTTACCTGCTCCAAAAGTAGAACTTTATTTTTTAATTATAATATAGTTTTTTTTTTTATTTTTGAATAGACCGTGCTATCAGATATTAAGAAATCCTGTATAGATTGTACCCACGTAATTTTTTTGCGTACTTAACCTCTACGTCGAAATGAATGAACCCACAGAATCATCTGGTATCTTCATAA